TGTGAAAATTGTGTTTAGAACAGACTGTGCATTGTTCCAAGTCCAGAGATGAGGATCTACACAGTGCTGCTGGGCTGTATTAAGATTGATTGACAATTAGCTAGTGATAACTTCATAAGTTAATTTGTGTTTAATATTGACTGTCCAATGTTCCAAGTCCAGAGATGAGGATCTACACAGTGCTGCTGGGCTGTATTAAGATTGATTGACAATTAGATAGCGATAACTTCATAAGTTAATTTGTGTTTAATATTGACTGTCCAATGTTCCAAGTCCAGAGATGAGGATTTACACAGTGCTGGGCTGTATTAAGATTGATTGACCATAAGTTAACTTGTGTTTAGTACAGACCGTTCAATGTTCCAAGTCCAGAGATGAGGATTTACACAGTGTTGGGCTGTAACTTTCTAATATTTTTGAATGGAAAGAGATGAATGAGAGTGCACTTAACCTCATAAGATTAATTCCTTTTTGTCTGTTTAATAGAGTTTATTGCACTTTGTAGAAAAATTCATATTGTTTTGTTCCTGTATGTTCAGGAACAGTCTATTTTGATGTAAAGAAATTTGGAAACTATGGAAAATTTTCAAGCATTGAAAGTAACGATGACCAAGAGACTAGAAACGTTGAAAAACGGAACTCTCAGGACTTCACTTTGTGGAAAGCTTACAAAGCTGGTGAACCTTGGTGGAGCAGTCCTTGGGGCAAAGGAAGACCAGGATGGCATATTGAATGTTCGGCAATGGCTAGGTGTTTCAGTGGTTTGAATTTTGTGATGCTTAACGTAATATTTATATTCATATTTGAATCAAATGACAGTTTCATTAAATTTTTTTCAAAGAATATGTTCCATTAAACTTTGTTATATTTAAAAAAAGTCATAAGTATTTATAAAAAGTTGTTTAATGTTTTGTGTTTCATGAGTGATATTTAGCCTTTGACTCATTTGCTGAAACTTACTTTAAAGATCTTTGATTTTGAAATAAGAGATTATCTTGAAGGATATCATATGTTGATATTATTGAAAACAGTTTTGTTCTACATTCTCAACAGTAGTATTTTTGTCATTGTCCCCTTGTGTATCTATGGCAATGTGAGGACTAGTGTTTGTATGACTGTCTCTTTGTTTAGCTGGAGCAGTTTATAGCATGGTGTTTGTGTTATTGTTTCTTTGTGGAGCTGTCTCAGTTTAAGTAATAGTTCTGTGAGCATTATTTGTGCAGCTGTAGAATTTGTATTATTGTCCCTTTTTTCTAGCTTTAGCAGTTTGACAAATAATATTTGTGAGTTGCTTATTTAGCTCTAGCAGTTTAGAGAATGGTGTTTGTGTCATATTTTTGTGAAGCTATAGCAATTTAGAGAGTAGTATTTGTGTTATATTTTTGTAAAGCTGTTGCAGTTTAGAGAATGGTATTTGTGTTATATTTTTGTGAAGCTGTAGCAATTTAGAGAGTGGTGTTTGTGTTATATTTTTGTGAAGCTGTAGCAATTTAGAGAGTAGTATTTGTGTTATATTTTTGTGAAGCTGTTGCAGTTTAGAGAGTAGTATTTGTGTTATATTTTTGTGAAGCTGTTGCAGTTTAGAGAGTAGTATTTGTGTTATATTTTTGTGAAGCTGTAGCAATTTAGAGAGTAGTATTTGTGTTATATTTTTGTGAAGCTGTAGCAGTTTAGAGAGGGGTGTTTGTGTCATATTTTTTGTGAAGCTGTAGTAGTTTAAAGAGGGGTATTTGTGTCATATTTTTGTGAAGCTGTAGCACTTTAAAGAGGGGTGTTTGTGTTATATTTTTGTGAAGCTGTAGCTATATAGAGTAACTTGTGTTAATATTCTGTAAGTGTAACAAATAGAAATCCTCACGAGAAATCCTATTGTATTGTGTGATATTATACTACATTGAAAAGTTTTTGGAACTGTCTTTCAAACAACTTCAGGAGTCATTATCAGGCTTAACAAACAACATAACTTTAAAAGCATTATTCCTTTAAACTTTTATAATTACAATTGAGTGACTCATTAGGGAGTCAAAAGCCAGCTGCAGTAAAATAACATGCATATAGGAATAATGTGAAAATACATTTTAAGAATGTCAATTCTAGTTTAAGAAATAATATTTGTGTGAGTATTGTTTGTGTAACTTACTATGAATACCAACAGTCACATATTTGGAAGTAACCTGGATGTCCATTCAGGTGGAAAGGATTTAGTCTTTCCCCACCACGAGAATGAGGAAGCCCAATCTGAGGCATTTCATGATACATGTCTTTGGGCCAATTATTGGTTACATACAGGTAATTGTTTTATTAAAATTTGACATTGACAGTAATGATTGTGTTATATTTTGAGAGAAACCTTTGCATCTATCAGTGTAACTCAAGATCAGACTTCAGTTTGAGTTGGCTATGCAATTATAGAGAAAGCATTCTATATATATGTATATAACTCTTTCAAAGATGTAAACATTAGAACTATTCTTGTTGGAAAAGATGTGTGATATGATTATACTTCTGAACTTGTTTGAGCCTAATAAATACTTATACATGTTTCCAGTTGTGCCTTTTTTTCTAAAACTATCATGTATAATGAATTTTTCCTTTTCGGTCACATTCATTGGAATAAAAAATGTCAACAGTACACTTATGTTGGTTGAAGGTAATCTTAAAGGATGAAAATTTCTTGATATCGGAGAAGTTGTTTGTGTATTTATAATATTCACCCCTGGCTGGCTCAACAGTGAGTCTGCAGGATTCTCAGTACTGAGTTTTGATACTCATGGTGGACAGAACACTGGTAATCCATTGGGTAACCTTTTGCTTAACAACAAACTAACCGTACTGACGTTAAAATATTCAAGATTTTTACTTTTAACTTTAAAATTTTTAATATTTACTTCTAATCCTGAGGTGAGTGTAAGATTTCTGCACATCAATAAAAAGTAGAACTGACTAAGAAGAATCTCATTCAGAACTAAAAAAAGTAGGTTGTAAATTAAAGTCTGTATAAGCAAAGTAATGGCTAAAGGTGCTTAATATTATAAAACAGTGTACTAGAAAATGAAAGTATAATGAATAGAAAGGTTTGGATCATATGTTGGGTACTCCTGCCATTAAGGACATTTTTGGCTGTAATTCCAGTAATACCTGATGAGGTTTATCCAATTTAAGAAATTTGTGTTTCATAGTCCTAAGTCTGTATACCAAGTTTTGACATTATTGAAAGTTAACTTTTTTTTGTACAATTGCCTTTATCTAGGGTTTCTTACAGTATACAGAACAATAGAAACTCCACTGAATTGTGTGAGTGTACATGGTTTGTTGGCACTGTAAAAGTTTTCATTCAGGCAAGTCCTATATATATAATACTTCTGATTTTAGTGTAAGTTAACAATTCAGTTACTCTGTTGTTTAGGTCATCTTTACCTAAAAGATGGTGTAAAAATGTCTAAGTCACTGAAAAATACTGTCAGCGTGAAGGAATTTTTGGAAGACAATACAGCAAATGAGTTTAGGATTTGTTGTCTGATACTTCCTTATAGTCATGGTAGGTTGATTTATGTTCCAAAGTGTTTTAACTAAAAGTAAAAAATCTTTGAACAGAGAGCTTATGTGTCCGAGTTCACCTGTTCTATATTATCTTAAATATAAATGAAGTTTGAAAGATTAATGTCTTCTTTTCAATGCATACTAAGTTCATTACAGGCTGATACTGTAAAAACATAAAGTAATAAGATATTAGTATGTTGTTGACTTGTTATTGTTATGTTTACTAGAAAGATGTACTGCTTGAAAGATGTGTTAAGTTTTTCAAAACTGTTTTGAATTTATCAGAGCAATATTTTTTTTTAATATGCATACACTGTTATTGACTTCATTTTTATTATTATAGTAATTCTATGAATATGTATATTAGTTTTAATATGCCAAATTTCTGAATATATTTTTTGTTGTTTTCAAAAAGCCAAGCAAACAGTATCTATTGTTTTATTATAGGGCAAATGGAAAACTTGTATTGTTTTATTATATGGAAAGTGAGAAACTTGTATTGTTTTATTATACGGCAAATGGGAAACTTGTATTGTTTTATTATATGGCAAATGGGAAAGTTGTATTGTTTTATTATATGGCAAATGGGAAAGTTGTATTGTTTTATTATATGGCAAATGGGAAAGTTGTATTGTTTTATTATATGGCAAATGGGAAACTTGTATTGTTTTATTATACGGCAAATGGGAAACTTGTATTGTTTTATTATACGGCAAATGGGAAATTTGTATTGTTTTATTATATGGCAAATGGGAAACTTGTATTGTTTTATTATACGGCAAATGGGAAACTTGTATTGTTTTATTATACGGCAAATGGGAAATTTGTATTGTTTTATTATATGGCAAATGGGAAACTTGTATTGTTTTATTATATGGAAAGTGAGAAATTTGTATTGTTTTATTATATGGCAAATGGGAAACTTGTATTGTTTTATTATACAGCAAATGGGAAATTTGTATTGTTTTATTATATGGCAAATGGGAAACTTGTATTGTTTTATTATATGGAAAGTGAGAAATTTGTATTGTTTTATTATATGGAAAGTGAGAAATTTGTAATTTTTTGTTACGTGACAAGTGAGGGATTTGTACTTTTTTATTATGTGACAAGTGAGGGATTTGTTCTTTTTTTATTATGTGACAAGTGAGGGATTTGTCTTTTTTTTATTATGTGACAAGTGAGGGATTTGTACTTTTTTTTGTATGTGGCAAGTGAGGGATTTGTACTTTTTATTATGTGGCACGTGAGAGATTTACATTGTTGTGATTGTGCACAAATTTTTTACTAACAAGAGATTATTGGTTATATATTTCTGGCAAGAAACTTAGGCTTTTGTAAAGCATTAAGCTTTTTTATCTTTGCACGTTAAGTTGTGTTAATTTTTCATGCCTTGATTTTTATAAGTCAGCTTTGTGTGTATGTTTGATTAATTCCTAGACATTGCATACACTGATAATCTTCTGGAAGAAGCCAAAGCTACAAATAAGAAGTTAATGTCATTCACAGCAGATGCAGAAGCTTATCTAGATGGACATTTAAGTGCTGGTCCTTTTAACGAACCATTGTTATTAAAATGGTAATTTTTCAGTGTTTTCATTATTACTCAGGTATCAATACTTTTAACAGTATTTTCACTCTGTTTAGGTTTTGTGTTATAAAATGTCATATGTTAATATTGTAATACTTGTCTCAATAGACTTGAGCACCACCAAGGCACTTTTGTTAAGAGTTTTGGCATGCATTAACACTTTTTTTTTGTGGTTTCTATTATGTATCAGATAAAAAAGATTGATTGTTTAATGTTTAACATAGAAAATATTGAACAGAGAAATGATTCTTCTACTCTTTGGAAAACAAGTTTTGACTTGAATCCTTTAAATGACTTGTAAGGTGAAATTTTTCAAGTATACATTTTCTCTTTAGTCTTTCAGAAACGAGAAAAGAAGTGAAAGAAGCTTTAGAAGATGACTTTAACACTACTAAAGTTCTAAATTCCATTTTGAACTTAGTAAGTGAAACAAACAAAGACTTGCAGAAAGTTCCAAAAAGCCCAGTTCCTTGTAGTGCAGGAGCTGTTGGAGCATGTTTATCGTATGTTACCAAGACATTGAAGATTTTCGGGGTAGAATATCCAAGTAAGAAGGCAAGTGTCAGCTTTTTATGCTACTATATTGTAGCATGTTTATCATATGTTACCATGATGTTGAACATGTTTGTTTAGTTGTTTTGTAGTAGAATATTGTAGCATGTTTATCATTTGTTATCAAAACATTGAACAAGTTTATATAGTTGTTTTTATGGTAGTATAATGGAGCATGTTTATCATATGTTACCATGATGTTGAACATGTTTTTATGATAGTATAATGAAGCACATTTACCATATGTTACCAAGATATGGAACATGTTTGTTTATGATAGCATATTGTAACATGTCTATCATATGTTACCATGACATTGAACGTGTTTGTACAAGTTTTTTATGATAGCATATTGTAGCATGTTTATCATATGTTACCAAGACATTGAAAATGTTGTATAGTTGTTTTATGATAACATATTGTAGCATGTTTATCACATTTTACCAAGACACTGAATATGTTTGTATTGTTGTTTTTACTAATATTGGTTGATTATCTTTACAATTGGGCATTACAAGTTCACAGGCACCATCTTTGCAAATATTTCATTAAATAGTCATGATCTTTGTGGAGAGAAGATTACCATCTACCATAAGGTAAAGTCACACAATACTGGAGGAAATGATTGAAATTATTTAGGGAAGAAAAAGTCTTAGGAGTCAAAAGAGTCATTACAAGTTAGGCTATGTACTTTTTTAAAGAATACGAAGTAAGTAGCTCTTTTGTTACATTATAGTTTTGACATACATACATACTTACATATGTATGTGTGTATATAAATAAATCAATAGCTCTAATGCTATTATATACATTGTCAGTAGGTTATTAAGTCAGCACTATTAATCAATAAGGAACATAATATAATATTGCAACTAAAAATCAAAATTAATTTCCATTACCAGTCCTCGTTGTCATCATTAGGTCATAACGGATGATGTCTATAGCCATAACACCCAAACTCATTGGGGATATTACAGACAAGGTACAGATGCTGATGTCAAACTAGCCAGCAACTATGAAGAATAAGTTAAGGGTTATAAGTTGAGTGCTTGAACCCACAACGTCTCAACTCCTACTGCCTTTCGCTGTCTGCAGCCACATGTGGGAAGGCAGTTACTCATAATATTTATATGTAACCTTAACTAAAGCTCCCAACCTCCACCCTTTTATTTATAATTACAAAATGTAAAACAGAACTAAAATCTCTTACCTTAATAGTTCTTAAGGCATATTCTCATCTCTTTGAATAGATTCTATTAGTTATAACTTACAATTTGTATATGCAATTTCAAAATTGCATAAAACTTATGTTTAATTTACAAATGATCTAAATGCAGCTACTAAATCTGTTTCTGTTGTACTCAATAACATTTTAGATGTCTTGTTTGAAAAAATAAAGTTACTGTTATCAACTGATTCGGACAACTATTTTTGAATCATTAAAAACCATATTCTGGTTTTGAAATGTTTAACTGACTTAATATTTTAGTCAACTTTGTTACTACTTATAAGTGTATTACTTTATATACTAAAATAGGTCTGAAAGATTTAATCAGGGTCTTTAATGATCTACGTGATAAATCTGCAGATACAGAAATATTTATTCCAAAATTTAAATTTACAAAACATCTTAGTAAAATATATTTAATTTTGTATTTATAATAATTATATTACTTTTAATGGATAAGTACATAAGCAAACAGTGGGTATTCTGATGGGTGCTAATTTCCTTTCAAACATGACCAACTTGTATCTGTTCTTCTATGAAAATTCATTTTTGAAACAGGTATCAAACTCTAATTCATATATTTATACATCTCATTACATGGTTGATTTAATCTTCGTTAACAACTTGAATTTTGATCCAAACCTAATATATCCAAAAATAACTTATAATAGAACGAAGTAATAGTAGTAATAATATTCCTACACATTACTTAGATTTAGACATTAATGTTGTAGAAGGCAGAGTACAGTTGATTATTTTTGATAAAAGAAGGGAAATTTGATTTTCCCATACTTGGTCTACTCACCCCTAACAGTGTGTTCCATCAATATTGTTAGGACTTGTAATCTCTCAATTTAAAACATCTTTAACAATTTAAAACAATAGTAATTTTTCTATGGATAATGTTCAATTATTCATAAACAAATTGAAAAATAATGGTTATAAGGACTGGCACATAAAAAATTCTATACTTTTTTATAATAAATATAAAACTATATTATAAAGTAAACTATTGATTATAGAAACTACCTTGTGAAAACTTAGAGGTTGTTATTTACTCAAGGTTATGATTGGTACATAAGTAACTAACTTTAAAATATTTAGATATTTGTTCACTATACCAGAATGGAAAAACCAACTTCAGGTAGTTGAACTTGTCTCAATTCACCCAGTTGATACTTTAAGAAATTTTCAAAACAAAGGAAAGAGAATGGGGGCTTAAGGACTATTAAAGTAAGGGTTTTTAATTCTGTTTAACATCATTTTGTAATTATTAAAGAAAAGGGTGGAGTTTGGGAGTTTTACTTTGTAATTATTTAGGGTGGTTTATTTCTACCTTAAGGTTACATCTAAATATTAAGGGTAACTGCCTTCCCACAACTAGCTGCAGACAGAATGTATGGCAGTAGGAGTTCAGATGTTGTGGGTTTAAGCACTCAACTCCTAAACCTTAACTTATTCTCCAGTGTTGCTGAGTAATGGAAATTAATTTTGATTTTTAGTTTCAATAATATATATATACAGAGAGTTTAGGCTTAGATTTCAAGTTCAAAGTAGGCCTTAATACTTTTGTTTTTAAAAAACAAGAAACATGTATAAGTAAATGTAGTTAAAATTGTGATTATTGTTTTTAGAAATTAGACTTTAATAATTATTCAACAATTTCAACAAGTTGTGTGTTAAATTATGGAGCTCACAACAAGTGACTTGTTACTGTTAATTATCAGACAATTTTAGGTTGTTTTCTGTTGAATTGTAGAGCTCACAAGGTGTGTTGGTATTAATATTGTCATTTGAATCACATTAAATCTTTTGTTATAGTTTAACTGTTTGTTTATGTTTAGTGTTTTTAAGAATCACTTTACTTATATAGTCAGTTGAAAAGCCAGCTGTACCATTACAGCTTTAATATGAATGTTCATTTGGTGTCTGAAAAAAAATGTTTTTTGATGTTGAAATATTCACTACTTGTTGTATTCATTTCAACAACACAGTTCATTAACAGCTAATAGTTCTGTTAAAATATTCACCAGTCATATAGTTCATTTCAACAACAGAGATCAAGCAGTTCATGAACAGCTGATAGTTACTGTTAAAATATTCATTACTTAGTTCATATCAACGACAAAGATAAGGTTGTTCGTGAATAACATACTTACATGGAAATATATAGTTTTTAGACATCTTTTTTGAACAAAATAATCACTATGTATTTTGTAGTTGGCCATGACTTTAATATAATAAAAGTTTACATTGATTTGTATAATATTTATACTTACTGTTTCTTTTGAAGAACAGTATAGAAATAAAAGATTTTCTAGTAAACTCAGAGTTTGTTCTTGGTAACTTTTGGATACACTTGTAGTTAGATTAACATTTTAATTTTAAATAAGTTCTTATTGCTCCCTATTTTAGCATTGATTTCCAATGAATTCAAATTTGCATTTTTGTTGAATTATTCTGACCTCTTATTTTGTATGTGAATGTCAGAAAAATTACATTAATTTTTTAGGCCTGCATCACCTCTAAAGGACATGATACAGGTACTCTTGTCAGAGTTATGGATTCACTTGTTAAATTTCGGAGTCAAGTGAGGGTGTATGCTTTAACAATGGGACCTAGTGCTCAAGCACAATATCAAATTGATGACCCAAAGCACAAATTGGAGCAGGACAAAGAAGGTAGAATTTAGTTTTGGGTACTGATTATGGTTTGAAATTAAAGTATCACATTTTTCTTAACATGAGTGGTAATGTAAAATAACATTGTAGCTGTTTAATTATTCTTTAGTAGTTAATTTTGTTATTAAACTTATAATTGAATTATCAAGAAAAATTTATTTTGGTAGCTTCTCAGACTACCTCGGAAGGTCTCCCAGTGCCTCCCATACAGCCCCCTTTACATAAAGGGGACATCACCTGGACAACAACATCCAGTCTGGATCCCAAGGAAAGGCAAAAGTTGCAGAAAAAGGAGAGGGAACCTCTTGTAAAGGCATGTGATGTAATACGAGACGAGCTGTACATAGCAGGAATCCAGGTCAAAGTAAGATATTGAGAAATAAAGTTTAGAAAATAAACGTTTTTTGAACATGTTGTTAGTAATTACAGTAGTTTTAGCAATAATGCTTGTTTGAGGAAGAACATGTTTTAAAAGAATTTAATATTGTAAATAAATATTAGATATAATATGTTCATTGAACATTAAATACAATTTTTATGTACAATAGGACAGAGGGAGGGACTCTTCCTGGTCATTGTTGGGCAACAACTCTATACGTGCCAGAAGAACTAACCTTGGAAACTATGATCCATTTGTAAGAAATTATATTCTCATTTCTTTCAAAATGTATGTCATTTAATTATCTGTTCTTAATATATAAAAGTGTTTTGAATATATTATTTTCAAAATTTTGTTCATGACAGACAAGTTAGTCTACTTTTAAGTGCAGTGTATAGAAACATTATGTAAGTAAAAGTGTGGGAACTTCTTGCAAATATTATAATACTTTTAATCTGGTGAACCAACGAGTTGTGACAGTTATCAACAGACAATACATGTAGATAGTTTTTGTTTTACCTGGCGTTACTATCCCAGATTAACCAATGAGTCATGACAGTTATCAACAGAAAGTACATGTAGATAGTTTTGTTTTACCTGTTGTTACTCTATGAGGTGAACCAATCAGTCGTGACAGTTATCAACAGAAAGTACATATAGATAGTTTTGTTTTACGTATTGTTACTCTCCCAAGTGAACCAATGAGTCGTGTGACAGTTATCAACAGAAAGTACATATAGATAGTCTTGTTTTACGTATTGTTACTCTCCCAGGTGAACTAATGAGTCATGACAGTTATCAACAGAAAGTACATATAGATAGTCTTGTTTTACCTGTTGTAACTTTCTGAGGTGAGCCAAGGAGTTGTAACAGTTTTCAACAGACATTACATGTAGATAGTTTTTGTTTTACTTATAAATTGTACTGTTTAATTCTTGCTATACCCTTTTGTATATTAACAGAATGTCTTAATAAAATATTTTCTTCCTTCTTTTTTTCTTAAACTTTAGGAACCTGAATATCAACCAAAACCAAAGAAGTAACACTTCCAGACTTGAACCTAGAGAATGATGGAGAACTTCAGTGGTGATGACTTAGGTTAGACGAGAGATGTAGAGTTTTTATTCTGTGAACTGTAGTGAACGTATGTCTTCTTATGATCGTAATGGCAGTTCTTATGTTTATGGAACAAGATTATAGCAGCACTGTTAGTGAAAGAAAGAATTGCAAGCGTCATTTTAACCAGTGTGTTTTCCTGTGGGTTCTTAGCTTTGTGTGATACAGGAAGTTGAACTAGTGTACCTGAATGTTGAAAGTGGTTATTACTTATTAAAACGTTTCAGAAGATAGCTAATTGGTTTAGATACTGTCATCTTTTATCCAGGGATGAACTCTTTCAAATAATTAAAAATTAGAAACATATAAAAATGGGATTGAAAAAATCATAAAGTGAAATATTTTTAGCTGTTTTTTATTATCAAAATGTGTGGGATACTTACAGTATCTATATTAAAAAAACAAAGCAGTTGAGCTAGTTGTTAACTGGGTTGTGATTTTTGTTTTGGAGAATACAGACTATAACACATATATCTTTGTGATCCAGTAACTGTTATTAAAGATTACACCCATCCTACTGGTACTGCATCAAACTGGTTAACTGGGTTGTGATTTTTGTTTTGGAGAATACAGATTATAACACATACACCTTTGTGATCCAGTAACTGTTATTAAAGATTACACCCATCTACTGGTACTGCATTAAACTGGTTAACTGGGTTGTGATTTTTGTTTTGGAGAATACAGATTATAACACATACACCTTTGTGATCCAGTAATTGCAGCTAAAGATTACACCCATCCTACTGGTACTGCACCAAACTGGACCTTTGATGTTAAATTTAAAGAAACTTCTTTCTGTTGATATCTGCACCTGTATCAGAGTGATATAGATACTGCTGTTTATAACATCTCTTTAATTTGTTGGATGAGCTCATTTGATAGTCTTTTGGAGGTGACGTGTTGTATCCTATGGGGATGACTCGACTGTTCTGAGCATGTCACAACAATTTGCAGCTACTTTCATCATTTAATATAACAGCTTTATTATTAATGATACAATTAACATCAGAATATAGTTTATAATTCAAATCTTCATTTTTGTTGTCATGTAACATAAGAACACTTTCAATGTGCTTCTTTTAGAAAGTATAACTCCAAAATCCCAACACGTACACTGTCTGTCATATTTTACACATAATATTTATACAATTCCAAGGTCCACTGTTATAGTGTGAATTTACTAATGTCTCCATTTACTTAGATATAATTAATTTTTTTCAACCATCTAGCCTTATCTTTCAAGGCTGTTTTCAAAACCACATTATCTTTGTTGACATATTTATTTATAACCAATAGAAATAGCTTATTTTAAATTACCAGCTTCCAACAGCCCTTTAAAAATTGAGGCAATATACGATAACAAGATGTCTTTATTCTGTAACTAGGTGATAAGATAATGTGGCACTTGTTGCATTTAACAATTTTATAAGATAGTTATATATTACTTAGAAGGACAGTTAAATTGAAGTTATTTTGGGCCATTCTATTTTAGTGATGTATGTATTATTTGTTTTACAATGCATATTTCAAAGGTAAATTTTTTTTTTTCTAAAGAGACTAAGAGAAAAAGATTTTAGGCTTAGATAACAATAAGTACATGAATTCAAACCTTCTCGTAATGTTCCCAGGCATCAGAAAACCGAATGTCATATAAGCCAGGTAATAAAACTGTAAGATTAAAAATGAACTATATGAAAATTTAAATTATTGAAAGAAGTAAAAGGTAGGTTTGTTTTATTTTATAATTTTCAAAATGTTACTTCAGTTTCACTGTATGTCGATGATTTAATTAGTGTTAGATAGAGAAAATAAGAAATAAAATACAAACCTTTAACTTAAAAATTTTATATTCATTTAAGAGGTTCTGGAGGTTATGCAAATTAACTATAAGAACTGTAAGATGGAAAGAAATATTCTTATTCTTAGTAATGAAAACCACCTTGCACTCAGACCAGTCAGAGTCTGAGTTAGATTGACTTTGTAAATGTACAGACAATATTTTATTTGAAATATTCCATATCAAATATGATTTTTTCTGTACTTATAATGTATACTTAAAGTAAAAACTTTACCAAAGTCATTGAAGACACACTTAGTTAATTTGTAATAATTGTAAACATTACTATGATAGCTTCACAGGAACAGGGTTTGGTGTCCACCCTTACTGTCCTAATAAAGTTAATTTGTTGGATGAGTTCTCATGATACTCCTTCTGTTGGTGTTTTAACCACTGTTTTATTTAAAATATATCTTTAATTTGTTGGATGAGTTCTCATGATACTCCTTCTGTAGGTGTTTTAACCACTGTTTTATTTAAAATATATCTTTAATTTGTTGGATGAGTTCTCATGATACTCCTTCTGTAGGTGTTTTAACCACTGTTTTATTTAAAATATATCTTTAATTTGTT